CCCTCAGAAGAGCATTTAAAAATTGTTGCAAGGAAAAACAAGACCTGGAGAACAGGATGAAACAAATGCAAGAGGAGAAAAGTTAAAAATGCAAGAAATTACAGTGATGAGAAAAAAAAATGAAGGCTTGCAAGTGATGTTTAATGAAGCTCTGGGAAGAAATACACAACTTTTAAACAAGAAGCAAGCTGGAGGTTTTACCCCCAAGAGCTGCTATGCAAGATCCAAGACAAATCCTCCCAGACTTTGAAAAGAAAAATACAGAATTATGACTATTTTACAATGAAACACTGAACTGGAGGAAGAGGAACAGCAACTGGAGAAAAATTGCAGAGATATGCAGTCCAAGAAATGGTGACCAAAAACACCCATTTACAAGAACTGTACAACAAAGTCCAGTGCGCAAATACTGAAATGCAGGAGAAGCAACGACAGGAGCGATCTCAGAAAAACGAGCAGTCTTTACTTGAAGAATTGCTGATGATGACAAGCCATCCATGAAAATGAACAACAAAGGAACAAGGACATGCATGAAGAAAGCAAAGAGCTGCAAGACAAGAATGATGAGAAACATTAGAAGAACTGGAGAAAAGGTTTAAGAAACTGGAGGTGCAGCATGAAGATCTGTTTAGTGAGATGACCAACCTCACAGCACAGAACAAAGACCTGCAGGAGCTGTGCCTATAACAGAAGAAAATGCAGATTGGGTTTTTGTGGAAGAACTACTCAGCTGCTTCTTAAGTTAAGCCTGGACAAGAGTAGCCTCATCTTCTTCATTCAGGGGCAAATAAACAATAAAATATTTTAATAAATTAACTTTGCTTCAACGTCTTATTCAAATTCATGCTGTTAAGAATCATTACTGATGGAAATCACCATTTAGCAGTACTTAAGAAAGCTGAATAACTTTAACTGAGCTTGCTTTAACATGACTTCCTGAATTTAGAGTCAGGTTTGAGTTGGATAACAGACAGCAGTTTGAGAAAAACTTGTGTTCATTGGAAAATAAAATGTATGAATCGTTTCACTTCAATCATTTGCCTTCATTTCATGAATAGTTTTATGTGTTAGTGTTGACTGATCGTCGTAAGTCTTGTTGTTGCTTTCCCAAAGAGAACAAACAT